CCTTGGCAGGCAGATTTTTTTTTTTTTAAGCCACTGACCCCCCAGGGAAGCCTGCACAAACAATTTACCTCTTTGAAAAAACCAGAACACTCCGTATGGACTAAAACAGCCTTGACTCTTGGCCTCAGTCCCAGCACCTCCCCTCCAAAGAGGTAATCACTCTGCACCCTGCCAGGCATTTTCTTAAGTTTTTCTCTTACATATATATGCTTGAGTTCGTAGAAAATACACAGGATTGTCCTGTGTGGTTTGACTTTACAGAAATTGTGTCACAGCCTGTCATGCTTCAACTTTTTCCACTCAGATTTTGAGACTGAACTTTGTTGAAACATCCAGAGATCTCATTCACTCCTTGTCCTTGCCATAAGTTTTTGTTGTTTTTTTTTTTTTTAAATAAGCTTTCCTTTCTCACTGGATGTCTAGGTCATTACAGACCCAAATCTCACCGTCAACATCCTTATTCCTGTCTCAGCCCAGGTGGGCGTTTTCCTGGGAATGTACCCATTGCCGGGTCAAAGAGTATGAAACTTTCAGCTTTAATAAACAATGCTGATTTGCCCTTCCAAATGGCTATGTTAATTTACTCTACCAGCAGTATTTAAGAATATCAAGTTTTCTATGGCCTCACCAATACCCGATGTTATCTTAACACTTATTTTTTGCCAGTAGGTGGGATCCTGTTTTCATTTGTTTCCTGGTTTCGCAGGAAGGCTAGCGTGTGTGTGTGTGTTTATTCTCTTGTCCGTGAATGGCCTGTGGAGTTCTTCATATTTTCGACTTTGTTCATCTTTTGCCTCTTGAAGAGATATGTTGAAAATATTTCCCCCAGTCTGGTTATAAAGTTGTTCATTATCCGTGAGCTAAATTTTAATTCTGGGGTAGTCAGTTTATCAGTCTTAATCTTATTTACTTGTATGTATTGATTCTTCATTTTTAGAGAAATCCTTTCCTGCTCCTAAGGTCACATGAATAGTCTGTGTTTTCTGATAAATGTCTTGTAGATTTAAAGAAATAGAGTCCTTGGCGCCACCCCTTTGGAATGAAGTTGGTGGGAGGACGCTGGAGACCAGGTGGGCTGAGAGATGTAAAGAACCTGCCTGCCAATGCACAAGACACGGGTTCGACCCCTGGGTCTGGAAAATCCCCTGGAGAAGGAAATGGCACCCCATTCCAGTATTCGTGCCTGGGAAATCCGATGGACAGAGGAGCCTGGCGGGCTACAGTCCATGTGGTCACAGAGTTGGACCCGCCTGAGCACACGTGCATGCACGCACCGTAGGGACGGCCCGTCACCCTCACTGGCGCCCCTGACGGCAAGCCAGCCCTCAGAGGCAGGCAGGGCGGTTCAGAAGGTCGCACGCCCCCCGACAGAGCTGCCTGCCGCTGGCGTCCTCCCCACGAGGTGCCCCTCCCTCCCGGCACCTCGGTACCTGGCGCCGCTCCCCCCGGCTCAGAGTGAAATCCGCAGCTCTCTTCGGAGTCCTTCTCCGATGGGCATGCCCACAGCCGGCAAGTGGAGCAGCCCGGGGAGAGGCAAGGTGCTCCAAGCGTCCCCTGAGACGCCGCCCCGGAGGCCCACAGAGGTCACCCCGACCAGACTCCCTCGATCTCCCCCAAAGGATGCCCGGGTGCCCTTCTGCTCAGCCCGCGGAAGCCGCTTCATTTCTCCTTAACTGCCCCCACAGCTTCTGAAAAGCCAGGGGCTCCCTCCCTCTCAGGGCCGTCCTGTCTCACTGGTGACAGTTGCCTTTTAGTTTTCTTATGAAATCTCTCACGGGCTTTGATGTCTCAACTGCATTTCTGAAAGTTGTTCCGCTTTGGGGTTTTGTCCTTCCTTTTGAGTTCTTTGTGGCAGAGGTGGTAGGTCTTTCCTTCCCCCCTGAAGCCCCCAAAGGCCCCTGGGCTTTATGAGGGGGTTGCCTGCCGACACACCCCGCTGACACCCAGACCTTGGCTGTGCCTGCTTTCCGGGCTCACCCGCAGATGAACCTCTTTTGTGAATGTGGGGAAGGAAGAGCAGGTTGTCCTGTTTAGGGGGAAGGGGAGAGGAAAGAAAAAGAAAGGAAAAGAGGAAGGAGAAAGCATCCTTTATGAGCTTAGTTTTCTCTTTTTAAAAAGTAAAAGATGCTAATTGGGGAACATGATGTAAGTATTGAGTTAAGAAAGTAAACTCGACCTCTGTGTGTGTGTGTGTGTGTGTGTGTGTGTGTGTGTGTCTGTGTGTGTGTCTGTGTGCGCGTGTGCACGCTCAGTCGTGTCTAGTTCTTTGCCACCCCATGGGCTGTAGCCCTCAGGGCTACATGGATTTTTTTTTTCAAGCAAGAGTGCTGAAATGGGCTGACATTTCCTCCTCCAAGGGATCTTCCCGACCCAGGAATCGAACCCTGGTCTCTTGTGTCTCCTGCATTGGCAGGTGGGTTCTTTACCACTGCGCCACCTGGGAAGCCAAACTCCACGCAATGCAAAGAAAATGTTTGCAAGAAAGAGTGTGAGGACTTCCATTTCTGAGGATACAGAAGACTAGATGTCTTCTGCATGGAACTAGAAATTCTGGATTAAGTCATTTTTAGAACTCTTGTTAAATACTTGGCTAGATTCCTGGGAAAGGGAGGAAGCTCCTTGCCCTGGAGAATGAGAACGTGCAATCCAGAGAGTTGAGTCTGTCTGGTGCTGGTGTTGGCCAGGGGTTTCTGGCCATGCTAGGTGGTCACATGCTGGGGAGAAAAGGCAGAATCACAAGGCCTGTCACAGCTGCTGGACCGGAAGACATCCCAGGAAGCCAGGATCTCAGACTGTGTGCTCAGAGCGTTAAGCAGAGGTAGTGTGGGAGGTGCGGGCAGGGATCCCTGGCAGAGGAGTGAGGGGAGGAGAAGAGGGCAGAGGAGAAATGTGCCCATCATTCCTCAGGTCTAAATGAAGAGCAAAAATGAGGGGAGGCGAAAACTTGGCAAATTCCTGTGTTTGGGGCCAGGACTGTTACTATCTGTGTTACTTTTCCCCCATCGCCCACCACCAATAAAGTGAAGCCAAATGTTAGGTTACAGGATGTACTGGGGTGCTGACAGTGTTCTGCCGCTGGAGTGTCACAGGGCACAGCTCTAAGTTTACCAAAACTTGAACTGTACACTTAAAATGGGTGAGTTTTATGGTATATAAATTATCTCTCCATAAAACTATTTAAGGAAAAAAAAAAATCACCCAGCATTCTTCTAATCAGAGATGTCTTTTAATGTTTTGGTATATTTCTCCAAGCCTGTATTTCTTTGTAGGGATACTATCTTTTAACATATCAAATTCACAATTACAGAGTTTTTACTATCTTGTTCATTTAAACATGTAATGTCTTTCCCAGTGCCGTTGCAATTATTGGTAAATAGGATTTTTTACTTGGGTCTTTAATGTGTATTTCAAAAGTGTATGTTGACTACCTCCTCATTTTAAAATAATTTCAAGCAAATCAGTGATACAGAGGGCAAAAATTAAAGTTCTCCTGTTGATACCACACACACACACACACACACACACAGAGTCCCACCCACCCCCAGTTCTCACTTCCCTCCTCCTAAGTAACCACAGTTCACACTTTGGTTAGACATAACTTTTAAATGGGTATGTAATTTTCCATATGATGGGAAAAAAATCATACTCACGTGGTTCCCCTCTTTGGGGGTATTTCGGTTGTTTCCTAGTTCAGCTATTTCTTTTAAAATATATTACAGAGGATTTCACTGGAAGGAACTCAGAATAGGCCGTAGAGTAATTGGCCCTGTGTTACCATGGTGAGTTCAAAGCCATCAAGGACAGGCACTAAATTAGACATCAAATCTGGGAATAACTTCCAGCCAAGAGAAGGGACCAAGCATAAGCTGAGGAAACCCTGCTAAATGCTTTCCCTACCTGTTCTCATTTTAAGGTATCAAACATCTCCAGATCAGGGACATTATTCCCATTTTACAGGTGGGAAACTGTGGTTTAGAGGGGCCAAGTGCCGTGCCCCAAATCACACACCGTCTCATGTAGAGCTAGGCTGTAAGTTGTCAGACTCCAAGGTGAAGTCTTGGTGATTCTGTAACCAAGCCGGGGGCTCTTCCTTTCCTGTCTTCACTTAATCTGGGCAAACACAGTCACAGGTGTAAACCGCCAATGCCTGCAGGGAAGCACTGAAATGTTACTGGGATTCTGGGTTTGTTGGGTGTTTTTTTAGCTACAGTTGCAGTACCTAATTCACAGCCACTATTGTATAGTAAGTCCCCTACACCCGAACCTTCAAGCTGCCAACTTTGAGAGATGCAAACGTGCATTCACGTGTCCCAGCGCGTAAGTTCGTTCACGTCTCTGGCATACACTGACACTCGCGTGCATCCTCAGCGCGTGGCTGTGCTTCTGTGTCCGTCACTGCACAGGACTGTATAGAGCGCAGTCGTGGAGTGCCTTTATGTTGAGCCCGGCATGTCCAGAAGCCAGTGTAAAAGAGCGGGGATGTAGCTGATACGACTGTTGTTTTTAAGGGGCTGCACTGTAAGAGTAAAAATGTCTTCTTCATCTTTGGTGTTTGTTTTGTGTGTATTATTTGCGTGAAAAGTATTATAAGTCTAGTAGAGTACAGTACTATGTAGCTAACCCTGTTAGTCGGGTACCTAGGCTGACTTTGTTGGACTTACAAACAAATTGGACTTAGAACGTGCTCTCGGAATGGAACTCATTCGTTGTGACTGTACTGGTGCTTTATGTATTTTATATGAGCCAATCCTCACAAACAGTGCCTTGAGTGGGTTGGGCATGATCCCCATTTTCCGGATGAGAAATCTGAAGCCCAGAGAGATATAGAAGGTTGCCCAGCATGACTCAGAGGAGGGACTCCGAGCCCAGTGTGTGTGACTGCCAGGCTGGGCTCTGGCGCCGAGCTGCGCCGCCTAGCGGAACACACACCAGCCCACATGTGTCGCTCAGGCTGTGTGGCGGACTGCACCTCACCCGGCTCTCTGTCCCCCTCCTCCCAGACAACAGCGACCTGATCGCGTGCACGGTGGTCACCAAAGACGGCGGCATGCTCCAGCGGTTCCTGGCTGTCGATATTTATCAGATGAGTTTGGTGGAGCCCGACGTGTCCAGGCTGGGCTGGGGAGTGGTCAAGTTCGCAGGCCTTCTGCAGGTATGATGGCTTAGAACCCTGGAAGCTTTTCTCCACTGGCTGTACAAACACCCACCAAAGTGTCATCTTTGCAGTCAGGTGCTAGTGACATAAGGGCTGCGTGAACAGATTACCCCTGACAGCAGTCAGAACACCTCACAGATAAGGGCCAAGTTCTCTTTAACCAAAACCCACTTCTGACTCCCCTCCTCTGGTATCAGACATGGTGCTTTGCCAGCTGCATGTATGAATAGAACTACGTGTACTATCCTTCCCTGGTGGCCCAGTAGTAAGGAATCTGCCTGCCAACGCAGGAGACGCAGGTTCAATCCCTGGGTCAGGAAGACCCCCTGGAGTAGGAAATGGCAGCCCACTGCAGTATTCGTGCCTGAAGAATCCCATGGACAGAGGAGCCTGGCAGGCTACAGTCCATAGGGTCACAAAAGAGTCGGACATGACTGACACAACTTAGCATGCATGTACTGTTTTTAAAAAGTGTACACAGATACTCGAAAGAGGGTGTGTCTATATGTATTTTTTATTCTCTCATGTTGCATGTATTCTAAACTTTGCTTTTTTTCACTCAATGAATGTTTTGGAGGCCTGACTGTGTCAGTCTGTGGAGACTTTCTGGTATTCTTGTAACTGCTACCTGACCACATCCCAAGGCGGAGGTAGTCAGCGCCCTGTGGTTGTTCCCGGCTTTCTTCCTTCACATATGGTGCTGCCGTGAACAAAATTGTCCCGACTTCCTTGTGCACTTGGGCCAGGGTTTCCCTAAGGCAGATACCAAGAAGTTGGGCTGAGCCCGTTTCCTCTCTAGAATGATTGTTGCTGCTGGTGATTTATGGAAGTTCCCGTGTCCTCCATCTCTCCATCAAGCCTGGGCTCTTAAATTGCCAAATGCCAAGCTGGAGCTTAGGTTTTCTTAGTGTTTGTCTAATGATGGGTGACTAATGCCAGCTGGTTGGTTGAAGGAAGCATAGCGCCAGGCAAGTTGAAGACAGCCTTCAAACCCCACGCCCCCACCAGACCCCCTGGGCCTTACTTGCCCTGCGCCGGGCCTGTTTCCTTGTTGGGCAGTCCTGGTTGCTGGCAAGGCCTTGCCGGGGCCAACCCACATCCATCTCCAGTGTGACCCCCCTCCCCGAGAGGACCACCCATGGGTTTGAAGACGCTGTTGCAACTATTTCCCAGTCTCCACTTTTTCAAGACCTTTCCATTTAAAAAATGTCTTTTACAGAAGGTTGATGTGCACAGCAACTATCTGAAGAAGCTCGCATTTAAAAAAAAGACTTCCACGTCGGAGACTGTCCATTAAGTAACTTAGTGCTTCTTCTTATTTATCTAGGCTTATAATCAATTTCCTTTAGAATTTAGTGTCAGGACAGTGTTTTTCTCCCTCAAAGGATTAATACGTGTCGTCCAACAGACAATGAAAGCCACATAAACCTTTTCTTTTGGTCGTCTTCCAGGAGCACCTATTTGTCAGGCTGTTACCATGCGCCAGCCTCTCTCTCCATTTTAAAAGCGTAATATCTCATCTAATCCCCACTGCAACATTCCATGCCAGATGGAATGCCATTGAACAGTCTCTGTCTTGTTTCATGAGCCTTTCCAACATTTCTGCCCCCTCCTCTAGCCTTTGACTTTCATGCCTGTCTCCTGTCCTCTGCCTTTTAACTAAAACTTCAGTGGGAAACAAATTCTTTGCACAGAATCCATTCTGAGGCTTTAGATCACATTTGTCTTGATACTTGGTCTACGTGAGTCCTTCTCTACCTTTCAAGGGCAACTTCCTCCAAATGTCTCTTTCTCAGAGTTAGCTTTTTCCTTTAGGGACCAGAAATTCGTCAGAGACATACAAATAGCTAATGATGCCCTCTTCTTAAGAGAGAGGGCCTCCCTGGCAGCTCAATTGGTCAAGAATCTGCCTTCAATGCAGGAGACCCCGGTTCAGTTCCTGGGTCGGGAAGATCTGCTGGGGAAGGGATAGACTACCCATTCCGGTGTTCTTAGGCTTTACTTGTGGCTCAGATGGTAAAGAATCTGCCTGCAATGCGGGAGACCTGAGTTCGATCCCTGGGTTGGGAAGATCCCCTGGAGAAGGGAAAGGCTATCCACTCCAGTATTCTGGCCTGGAGAATTCCATGGACTGCATAATCCATGGGGTCCCAAAGAGTTGGACGCAACTGAGTGACTTTCACTTTCTTAAGAGAAGCAGAAAAGGAATTGTTAGTAGGTGGAATCATGCCAGAAAGAGCTAGGACCTTGGGTTTGTTATCTCTGGTTTCTCAGAAGCAAGAATTGTTAGGGTTTGGGACTTCCCAGGTGGTCCAGTGGTTAAGAATCCACCTTCCAATGCGAGGGGGTGTGGGTTCAATTCCTGGTCAAGCACTATGATCCCACAGGCTGCTGGTGTTCTTCAGGTTCACCAGCTGACTCAAGTCTTTCTGGGGACAAGACCAGCCACCACAGCCAGCATCAGCCACTTGCACTGGCTGTGCTTCCCACCCTGTTGTTTCCCTCCAGGCCCGGTCTGGTTTGTGCCCATCCTCAATGCTTGCACTTGGGGAACTGATGGTTTCCTTCAGAGCAAAAGCAAACTTCAGTCTGAGGGCCCTTGTTCTAGAGGAGACGTGGGTCCACAGCCTCCAAGCAGCGACCTTCCTTACAGAACGACCTTCCTAACTGAACCTAATGGACATCCTTTCTTTGGCCGCTCTCCCCGCCCCAGGACATGCAGGTGACTGGCGTGGAGGATGACAGCCGCGCCCTGAATATCACCATCCACAAGCCTGCGTCCAGCCCCCACTCCAAGCCCTTCCCCATCCTGCAAGCCACCTTCATCTTCTCGGACCACATCCGCTGCATCATCGCCAAGCAGCGCCTGGCCAAGGGCCGCATCCAGGCGAGACGCATGAAGATGCAGAGGATAGCGGGTGAGTGCAGCACCCCTTGCTGGGTGACCTCTGAGCCGTCAGACTGGGTCTCACATTGACCTCGAGCACCCTCGTGACTTTTCTAGGAGAGGACACTCGTGGTGCAGGAATTAGTTGTGTTTTGGTGAGAGGATGGAGGATCCTAAGCATTTGGTTTCTAGAATGTCTGGGGCTGCTCAAAGAGGTACAGCCATCCATGTGGACAATGGTGCTCCCCTCCAGCACACGGCGGCCTCTAACTTATACTTGCAAAGTGCCTTGATTCTCATCTACCACCTCTGACCCTTAAAACCACCCTGGAGCTGAGTAGGGCCTGTTCACCCATTTCATAGATGAGTAAACTGAGGCTTGGTGACTTGCCCAAAGCCACACAGGCAGCTGGTTGGCAGAACCCAAAAGCAGGACTTCCTGCGCTAAAGCCCGTCCCTTCCTCCTCTCCGTTCCCAGCTCTCACGAGAGGCAGCCCTGCCTGATGAGGGGCCTGGGACCCAGCACTGGATTCGCAAGCATCGTTTCACATGGCTCAGGGATGTGGTGAATCAGTGAGGAGGCCCTGCGCCGTCCAGTGTCAGGAAGGCCCCAGCTTTTTTAGAAGTGAAGGTGCTGATGTGAGAGCCTTCCCTTCATCAGGGCAGAAAGCACAGCATCCTCCGCGGGGAAAAGGCATTCTATCAACTCCTGAAGTCACCACCAGCCTTTCTCAGGAAACCAGGGCCTTTCAGCTCAAGCACCGAGCAGTCCACTGGGGGGAACGGGCGTGTTCTGAGGGGTCCCCTGAAAATAAACACTGAGAGGGCAGGGTTTCTGGGCATGGTGGGTTCAGTTATTTCCTGCACGTGCTCCGTTGATTGGCGCAGGCCTGCATCACACACAGTCCGCATCTTATTTCTCACTTAGCTGAAACTTGGCCTCCAAAATCATTACAGAAGCATTTTGTAATGTGCAAAGTGACTTAAATCATTCAGTCCTTTCTCTAAAGATTTATTTCCAGGGTGTTTTTTTTTTAATGTAAAGCAATCTCTCACAGTTGGCATAAAGGCTAAATATTTCATTTGAAAATGGAGAATTATGCTGTGAAGTGACTGTTAGAACTAATGCCTTGGGTATTTCTTTCTTCTTTTTTTTTTTGGCCGTGCCATGCGGCATCTGGGATCTTAGTTCCCCAATCAGGGATCAGTCCTGTGGTCCTCTGCGTTGGAAGTGTGGAGTCTTAATCACTGTACCGCCTGCAAAGTCTCACGCATTGGGTATTTCTTAAATAAATTCTAAAAGGCCCCTCCACATTTTGCTGTATCGTGAGATTTGCGTGTGGAAGGGAAGACAGCAACAAATACACACACAGAGTCATAAATACAAAAGCACAGACACGCGCGTGTTCTCTCACACACACTCTTCCCTGCACGCATAGATTTGTGAATTTCGTGGCAAAACTGGCCTCATTTGGTTCAGGGTCTGAAACCGTACACAACGCTAAGCCTTGGTATGGTTTTTGTGCATGGAAACCAAGACTCTGAGGTGAAGATGGGCCTGGCCTTCCTCTCTGAACACCATGCAAGGCGCCCCTTGTGTTTTGAGCCTCAGTCGAGACCCTCGGTGACATGCTGGTCTCCCCAGCTCGAGGCTGTCGGCTGCCTGCCTAGAATCGCCCACGGGATGTGCCTGGCTGGGCCACAGCCACCCAAAGTCTCATCACCTACACGCCGATCATACGTGCTGAGCTTGAACCGCGGGTTTGTTTGAACATAGCCCTCCTGGACCTTCCGATCCAGCCGACGACCGAGGTCTTGGGGTTTGGACTCGGCTCATCTTCCGCACAACACCTGCCCTTCCGCTTCTACGACCAGTGCCGCCGGGGCAGCAGCGACCCCACTGTGCAGCGCTCTGTGTTCGCCTCTGTGGACAGGGTGCCAGGTAAGCCAGCCCCCCCACACACACCACCTCCTGTCTCCTCCAGGGGGTGGGAGAGGGTTGATTCCAGGACCTTCTATATCTCGAGCATTCGTAAGCATCCCTTCCCCTCTCAGAAACCCAGCTTCTTAGAACTTATCAAAGTCCAGTGCAAGATCAGACACAAGCCCCAGAAAGAAATCTTGGCTTTCCCCTTGATGTTCCATCACTGGGGTTTGGTCTTCCAGAGATTTGTTTGAGGATGTTTGAGGATGTAGAAGAGCTTCTCAGAATTAAGACTAAAACTTTCTTGGAAGTTTCTTGGAAATACTTAGAGTATTAGTAATGAGGTTGTGGAAGAGTCATTTCCTTTTCCATGTAGGTTGACTAGAAAGATTTGGTGTGTGTGGTTCCTGTTTAAGCCCCTAAAGAAGTGAGAATTCAGAAGAAGGTCCCGCTGCCCACAGGGTGACTGCCACTGTCTTTTTTCTGGGAGCTTCTCTTCCCACTTTCACCAAAGTACAGCTCTAACTTTCCTCCCCGCCTATCTGAAAGAGAAGCATGAATAGAAAATTCAAAGTCTCCAGTGGAGCTGCAAGCACCGCTTCTCCACAAGGGCCAGTGGGCTCCCCCTTCCTGTTCTGATATGTCTGCACCCTGACCTCTCACAAGAGAACCTTGCCCTTGTTTACAGAACTTCAGAAAACTGGCCAAGCTGTTCCCTGAAACTTCACCCCTCCAGGCTTAGGGCTTCAAACCTCAACTGCAAATGTTGCAAAATGTTTTCAAAAGCAGTTACCCAATTAAGAATCAAATGGGGTCAATAGAACCTGACCCAAACCAGGGTCCCTATTTCCCTTCCACCTCACATTTCATTCTTCGATTTGATTCATTGATTTTAGAAATATAGTATATGCTGTACATGCTAAGTCGTTTCAGTTGTGTCCAACTCTTTGCGACCCTATGGATTGTGGCCTGCCAGGCTCCTCTCTCCATGGGATTCATATAGTATATGCTATAAGCATATGACTTCTTAAAACCCAAACAGGACATGATAAAATGAAAAATAAGACTGCCTGGCCCCAGAAGTGACCATGGTTAAAAGTTTCTTGCATGTCCTTCCAGACATGTTTTGCTTGTCTGTTTTTACACCCCGGGCTTATGCCGTATGTGTGATTCTGCATCTCGCTGTGTTCGATTATTGACGAGTCAGTGTTACATGAAAGCATGTGTAAGCCGACTTCATGCTCCTTCACTGTGGTATAGTATTTTTTCATATGGATGGACCCAAAGAATCTTCTGTAACATTTCGTGCTGATGGGCATTGGACGCTGGTCACTGACTGGACAGCGATGCTGGTCATTTCCAGCTTCTTGCTCATCTATCGTCACAGTGAATCTCCTTGGGGTATTCTTGTTGTAAGTGTGCAAATGTCATGTGTCGGTGGGATAAATACCCAATGGTAGATCTGCCAAGTCAAAGGGGAGGTTTTTTTCATCTTAATATATGTAGTCCCAGAAAAAGTGTGCCAGTTCACGCTGCCACCCACAGCCTGCGATTGCTTCCATTGTTAAATCCGGTCTTAGGTTTCGAGACTGACTGTAGTCCTCCCTGTTTTCAGCCGTGAAACATGAGACGGTTCTGCCTGCTGAGGGGTCTGGAGGGTTCTTTGTTTAAAATTCTCCAGATTGGGACTTCCCTGGTAGTCCATTGGTTGAGAGTCTGCTTTCTAATGCAGGGGACTCGGGTTCGATCCCTGGTCGGGAAACTGGGATCGCACGTGCCACGGAGCAGCTAAGCCTGTGAGTCCTGCCTACTGGGCCTGTGCACCACAGCTGGAGAGTCCAGGAGAGCGTCAGAGAAAGGCCCCACGTAGCGCAGTGAAGGTCCCGCGCGCTCCTACCAAACAGTAAACCTTAGCGATAACGCCCCAGATTGCGGCGTGCTCTGTAGAGATGGCTGCTAAGTAGACATAAATGATGACCATAAGTCTAGGTCAACTAAATACAGACTGGCCTGGTAAGAAATCGTTTCTTCCTTCCTTTCCTTTTTTTTCCCACACAGTTATAATTCTTCTTTTTTTTTTTTTTCTGGCTGCACAGGATGTGGGATCTTAGTTCCCCAACCAGGGATCAAACCTGCACCCCTTGCATTGTAAGGGCAGAGTCTAACCCCTGGACTGCCAGGGAAATCCCACACACAGTTGTAATTTTATTATAACATGTCTATAAGCACCTCTTTGTAATTTTTTTTTTAATTGAAATGTAATTGATGTGCAAGATTCTGTGAGTTAAGAAACCATTTCTTTGGGTCATCAGGGCTTCTTTGAGCTCAGGAAGTAATGGGTTAATGAGGAAAGCTTGTTCCTCCTTTCCACTCCCTCGTCTTTGGAACAAGGCGGGCGTAAAGTAATAAACAGAGCCAAATGTCACGTTCTTGGGCGTCCACAGGATCCCCCCCCACCGTTTGCAGATGGCCATGCGATCACTTCTCCCATCCCACCAGACCTCCAGAGAGGGGCCAGGCTGTCCGGTGCCAGGGATAGCAGCCTACCTTTGCTGCCCTGGACCTGCCTTGCAGAGGGCTTGGCGCAGCTGGCATGCACGGTGTCTTCCTGCTGGTCCCGGGGTCAGGGCACCAGCTGGGACTGTGTCAGGTCACAGGAAGCTCCTGAAAGCGACCACCCACCCCTCAGCAGTGTCTCCCCCCGGCAGCCCTTGGCAGGGCGGGTGGTGGGGAACGTTCTCAGAGATGCGGCCACAGGACGGCTGCTCCAGGGCCTTGGGTAGAGAGGCCTGGCTGCCCTCCTGTCCTCGCCTGGGCCAGAGATGCGACCTAAAGAGCCAGTGGAAAGTGCTGAGGCTTCGCATGACTCAGAGAGAGTCAGCGTTCCCTCAGAGAGGAGACCCCACCCGCCCCCCGGTGCCTCACCACCTGCTGCCTCGGAATCTGGCCCCACAGCCGCCCAGCATCTTGGCATCATCCCTCATCTTTTCTCTTCGTTCTCCCACACCCACGTCTCCGGAACACACCGGGTCCTTCTCCCTCTCTCGGCCCCCAGCACTTCTGTCCCCATCGCGGCAGCAGCAGCCACATGCTCCCCGGCTTCCAGGCTCATCCTCTCCCTTCCACGCAGCCAGAGGGATCTTTCTAGAACAAAGATCACATCGCATCATGCCTCTCCCTGCCGCCCTCCTGTAGCTTCCTCTTTGCATTTAGAACAAAATCCAGGCCTCTCGTTCTGACCTTGCATGCTCGTTGTGCCGTGAGCCCCGGCCAGCCTCTCAGACGCGGCTCTCCCGAAGCCTTCACCCCGTCCCCTGCCCGAGCCCCCACCCTTGCTGTTCCTCCAAGTCGGCGTGTCTCCAGGTTTGAGTCTCAGGATCCCTCCTTTGTTTTTTTTTTTGTTTTTTGGCTGTGTGGCATGTGGGATCTTAGCTCCCCAACAGAGGATCGAACCCGTGCTCCATGCAGTGGAAGCGTGGAGTCCTAGCCACTGGATCACAAGGGAAGGCCCGGCGCCACTTTATACTCTTTGAAAAGTATTAAGGAACCCAGAGATCTTTAGTTTGTGTGAATTTTACTTACCCATATTTCAGCTATTGGAAATTAAAACTGAGAAATACTTTAAAAATGTATTTGTTTAAAAAATAACAATAACCCATCCTATGTAAAGCAGTAAACAACATAGTTCTTTATGAACCATAAGTCTGTTTTGCAAAACAAAACAAAAGTGAATATTATATTTTTGCAAGTCTCTTTAATATCTGGCTTAATAGACAACAGCTGGGTTTTCTCATAGCTGCTGCTGCTTTCAATCTGTCATGCTGGCATGGACTCCGGAAAGCTCCTCTGCGTCCTCCTGGGAGGAGTGTAAAAGGAAAATGCCGTCGTCATCTTTATGAGAGTTCTGACCCTGGGAGGCGCCCCCCAGGGTTCCCCAGCTCATGCTTTGAGAACCACCGCTGGAGCTCACTGCTCTCTCCTGCCCCAGGGCCTTGGCCCTGCATGCTGCCCAGTAGATCTGCGTGTGGCCACTTCCTGATGATCCCTCGGGCTTCAGTCTGCGTGCTGCCTCCTCAGAGAGGCCTTCCCTGATCCCCGCTGCCCCGCTCCACCCCGTCACATTAGCCTCCGTGGCCCGGCGGCTCTGTACCCAGCCGATATATTTGGGTATCTAACTCCCCCCAGGAAGAGTGTCACTCCCGCAGGGACCTGGAGTGTCCCCTTCACATGGCGCCTTCATTCAGCCTTCACCCAGTGAGGAGTGAGCCTCCGTCCTCAGTCTCTGCACAGCCTCAGGGCAGTGCCCACCCAATGCCCTTCTCCCTGCGAGAACGCCAGGGAGACAAGGAGTTCCCACAGGCGCCCCAGACATTGGGTGGTTTAGGCTGCGGCACTTCGGCAGGGGGCACCAGGGAGCTGAGGCCCAGCCCCAGGTCTTCAGCGGCAGCCCCCTGCCTCAACTTCGGTGCTGTCACCGAAGCGAGTGAGACGCAAGTCCTGTCAGTTTCATGTAAGTCACCGCGCTCACCTTCCTCAAAGGGTTTGCCGGAGAGCTCCTCGCAAGCCCGGCCCAGGTTGGCCTGCGATGCTGTGGCATCCGTACCTGCCGTCCAGGTGTTGCTCTGTGTCTGTCCCTTGCATGGACCACGCTGTGGCAGCGTACCTCCCGCCTGGAGAGTAGCTGACAAGGGAAAAACCACGGCTGGCCACCTGTCCCCGGGGTGGCTGCCGGAGGAGCTAGCTGGCTTGATCGTGACACATCTCCTGCAGGCCTGGGGAGTTGTCACAGAGCCGTTTCTCTTCCCCTTTCAAAGCTCTACATGATCATATTTGATGAGCACATACCTCTCATTTCCTTGGATGAGATGTTAAAGTAGAATATAAATCAGGGCTAATAGGCGACTGGCCACTTTGGTGTATTTTTCTTCTCCCATTTGGCTATGAAAACAATCACAAATTCTATTCATTGGCCAGTTTTATGTTTATGGCTCTCGTCCCCACAGAATGTTCAGCTCCGG